AGGGGGGGGGGGGGGTTAGCGTATTTGGCATCCCGCCAGTTGGGAAGGGGGGAGATAGGAAAAAAAATGATTTAGAAAAGAAACTGAACATTTTCCTGTGAAAGGTATAGGGGAATGAGCAAATTAAAGCTTAGTATCAACGGCAGCTGTTCAAGAACCTTTACGATTGCAAAAGAACACCACCAATACGCTAAGCATTCTTCATGTGCGTGCATGCATTGTGTACCATCCCTATCGAGGTCCCAACAATCGTAATGATATAGCATTGTAGATTTATATAACGACAAAGGGTCGTAGGGGAGCTGGATTGCTGCACGATGTACCAGCCAGCTGTCTCAACTTCTGAAGACATTGATGGTCCTGTTTTCATTATCATTTAGTATATCAAGGGCAAGTAGCCTATAAATTAACGGCCCCCACTTCTCTCAATGCTTAGTTTTAGTTTGTGTATATGACCGTTCTTTTCTACTTCGTAGGCACCATCGCCTTCAGGCAGCTACAGTCTGATTTCAAACGTACCCTACGTTTTTAAACTGTCCAGAGTACTTTCAGTTTTGGTAATAATTAATTTTAGAATTTTCCCCTGGGGTGGTCTAAGCCTACTCTTGTCGATTTTTAGGGATCTTTAACATGCAAAACTTGTACTCTGGACGTCCGAAATTTTTCGTTCTCATCTCAGAAGAATCTTAACTATCTTAACAACCATTCTCCTAAACAAAACCAACCAACACAAAGCATAAACAAAGGGAGGCAAAAAACCCCACAAATTACACAAATTCTCTCAATGTGTTACCAGTGGTACTGTTCACCCGGAAGATTCCCCTGAAGCTGTCCAAGGCTAAGAGGTCACCGGTGGTGGGGTCTTTCCTCAGACTTATCAACTGGCCGCAGGTTTGACGAGTCCCTTTGATAAAAAGAACAAAGTTTGATTATCTTAAGTCTTTAATGGTTCATCTTTTTTGTGCCAATGTATCTTTCTTCTGAATACGACAATTTGATTTTTTATGTTTCTTTTTTCTCAAATTATTTAAAAGCAAGGTGATAAACTATTAGCCAAAATAAATCAACATTAAAAAGAAATATGCATGGCTCCCACTGCTTAAAATGCCTAGCTTTCTCCAAGGACACTTCAGCTTTATAAATCACTAAACTATGGCGGCCATTTTCTAGCTAATTTCACATCCCACATTAGGCGTTTCCTTCCACCTTCAATCGCAAATATATCGATCTCTATTAAAAATAGAGGGAAATTTTTCACTAAAATCAAGACAAATGAACAAGCTTTAAGATTATATCAATGACTCAATATGTCCCAAAATTGACGAGCACCTGATTCTAATGTGTCCTGATACATGTCTGAAATAGGACGGCTATGATTTTACTTGTAGTAGAGATAGACATTGTGTTGTAGCCTTACCTCTACATCATATCTCGATGGTGATTATTATATGCTCTGACCGTACGTCTGGAAGAAAAAGGTCAACTCGTTGTTTTGATCTAAAACTGTTACCCAGGTCGATCTGTGATTAAATGTGTTGGTCTTCAATAAAAACTAGGAGTCAGCTTACTGTGCAATGAATAATAATTTTATACCGAGCTGCAAAAGTTCTGTCACACCCACCTTAAAAGTACAATAACTCATTTACTACTCAAAATAGCCAAGAGAAATTTGGTGCCCGAGATCTTTATTCATTTTCTGCCAACATGACATAAAAAGAATGGACAAATGTCTTACCTTATTCAAGGGAGATAATTTTATTCACACTGACTCTTGCAAAATCCAAATCAAAGTTTGCTCAGTATGGCGTGTGGCCTCTTCCAGCTTGAGTTACTGATACAAAACATCTGTTCATTGGCTGAATTGAAGTCGTTATAGCTGTCTGAAGAATCTCCTGTCATTCCATGTGTAGTGCAGCCTTCAGTTCCTTACAAGTTTGTACGGAGTGCGGCCTGTTTCTAATCCTTCAGCCAAGGTCATTTTACAGATGTTCTGTTGGGTTATGGCTTGTGGATCTTGCAGACCAGTCCAGAACGACGATTTGATGTGTTTGGAAGAAGTTTTCATTGATAGTAGCCATTTGTGGTCGGGTGTTGTCTTGTTAGCAGATTCCATCTTCCGTGCCATGTGGCGTAGTCACCGTGGCGAAGAATTTCGTAACAATAATGTCGTTATTTGAGGTTGCTTAGAAAAGTAACTAAATATATACGATAAAAAGCAGAGATTCCACCCTCTACCATCACATTTCAGCCACCTTCGGGCCTTTTGGGGGACGTTAGATTTGTGAAATTTCTATTCTCTTCTTTCTTAAACACTGTTTCTCTTCCATCAATGCGACGAATTAAAAACCTTAACCATTGCTGAAAAGAACACTTTACCAGCGTCTTTAGTTTCATCGACAATGTTGTTATGCCAAAATTTTGCGATTTCTTCTGTGAAACAGTGTTAGAATGGCTCCATATAAAGGGCGATAATCACGTAATCCACGATCTTATAAATGTCTAATAATGATGTTTCAAGACTGCCCGAAGTGACTGGCAGTCTCTGCACTAAGTTGGAATGGGTTTTGAACATGGGTGTTGACAATAAACCAATTCTGATGTCGAGTTGTCGCCCTTGGTTGGCTACGTCTCGGCATGTCGTGGCCAGTTCTAGTGGTGTTAAAACGTTTGTTCAAGCGTTAGATGGTACTTCTGCAAACATTTACAAGTCTTGCAACAGCAGAAAGCGCAATTAAAGAATGTATCATACATACAGACAGCCCCTTTATTATCTGAATTAATCATTTTGAAAATTTTGAAAACAGCAGAAAAAGGTACCCAACGGTTAAAAAGTACGAAATTTTATAGTGTGTAAGGTGTGTTTACACATCGTCTACGTGATTCAAAGCAAATTTTGTGTGTAGGGAGCGTTGAATTAAACACAGACCGAGAGAAATCAATACCAACACTTTGTCCACTTACTACTTCCGGTTTATGATTTCTTTGGTCTGCTCTTGCACAAGAAGTCTCATAAATCCCACAAGTCATACTTTTAACTTTTACTGCAATTCTAACGCTATACCGAACATTATCGTTATATAATGGGTGTGACAGAACTTTTGCAACTCGGTATATATTAGAAATTCTGTGGGATACTTTTGATGACTTCTCGCATCTAGATCAATTGGTTTTTTAAAAATTCCTTTGAACAATTTTCAAGAAACCAGTTCCTCAGTTAGAGCACAAGATCACTGGTATGGTCTCCATCGAATTACCAGAAGCCAAAACCCTTGAAGAATTATAATAATCACTATCTCAAGACCATGATAATTCATTCTAAAGGAGGATGGCAATTGTGTACTCACGACATCCTTGGGGCCGCATGTCGACAATAAGTTTTGGTTGGCATCTTGCTACGTTGTAGATCTTGTTGTCTTTCGTTGCAACAAATAAATCCTCTGTGTGTTACAGATAAAATTTAGTGAGTACTATGTTAAAGTAAAGAAAAAAGTATCCATAAAGTAATCTAAATGGAATTTGGAAGCTGAATCATAAATTAAAGTCTATACATATAATTGTGAACGTCGTCACTTTCAACGCCTGAAACTTCCGAACCACTTAACTTTCGAATTTGAAAAAAAATAACCGAGGTTCAGAATCATTTAAGGGCACAGTTATATTAAGTAATCTGGAGTCACCGTAGTTTAATTTTCCGTTTTTCATTAGTTTCGTTTAGATATCTAATCTTGGGTAAGTCCGTCTTCTGTGACACAACTGTAAACAAGTGAGGTTTCCGTTACTAACCGTGCTCACTACTGATTCCACACCTTTGAAATTCTGTACTGTACAACCACGAAAGCTAAATAGAGAATCAATCTATCCGACATTCCAAATACAAATATTATTATGATCTCTCAGTATCTATTATGTAGTCTCATTATTGTTTATTCATGCTGTTCTGTTCTGTAAATAATTATGACTGTGTGAATTCATCAATGTGTGCGAGGGTGTACGGGTAAGCTTTATGAGATTGTCTTTACTCAAGGATGTGCAGGAGAGAGAGAGAGAGAGAGAGAGAGAGGGAGAGAGAGAGAGAGAGAGAGAGAGAGAGAGAGAGAGAGAGAGAGAGAGAGCTGTAATCCTCGCTGTGGGGGAACAAGAAATATTTTACTGTAACACGTGGTAGCACAAGAGTCGAATTTACCTCTCCATGTGCGCATGAGTAGCCTAATAATTTTTATTGATAAACGAATGGCTGTCTTTTGGTTAACAGAGATGTGAAATCTGGGTTGCATTAAACACGTTTTCTTTTTTCATTTTTAAAATAAAAACACCTATTATCCCATCCTTATGTGTTGGAAGGGGGTAGGCAACAAGAAACGATTATGTATCTTACAATTCGTAGCATTTTACAAACCAGAAAGCAAAATCAAGTTTTCTGCAAAAACTTTCATGCCTCGTAATACAAATTTCAAGACAACGGTAGGTTCTAAAAATATGATGGTAGAACAAAATAAAGGACATTACATAGGTGCTGCTAAAGAATTTTGAGGGTTCTTTCTGCTATATCTCCACGCTGATGCTTCTTAGCCTGAATATTATACATGCTTACAGTTAAGTAACTGTACAGGCTAAATTGTGTACAGAGATATTTTCGTGAAAAAGTATGCTACAAGTAATAAAAATAAATAAGTTCCTATATACTGAACAAGATTAAGCAGAAACAATTTACCAATTTCGCATTGTGGATTATGGCGACTTGGTATACCGCCTTTTGATTAGTTTACATGTCATGTGTAATATAATATGACAATAGGGACCAATGATGAACCATGCACATATTAAGAAGGCACCTCCTGTGTTGACAAATGAAGCGGGTCCCTGAAGTTTTCCCATGTGCACGATTTCTGCAGTGGCTAAAGCTGTGTTCGGGGCTGTGGGTCCCTGTAAAGTAGGTGGTTTTGGTAACCTGGAAGAAAGTAGGTAAGAAGAGTATTGCACAGTATTTCGTAATGATAATCTCATAAGACTTTTGTGATGTCGCACGACATGGCTTTGTATGATGTTTATGTATGACGTGGTACTTAGAAAAACTGATAGGAAATGCTTTACATAATGTGTATAGTATAGTATAGTGCGGTATGCTTGATGTCATGTTCAGCACTCCAAGTCCTTTCAGAGGCAAGACTATTCATTTAGCGTATATCTCCATTTTGACTGTACTGACAAGCAAAAACAACAACGAGGTTGGACTGCCTCACGCGTTACTTGAGAGAGGCAGTGGACCAGGCGAAGAGCACGTTCTTCGGGGCTCATTCACTTTGATGAGCAATACTGACAAAATGACAGCATCGTACTCTTTTTTAAACCCTAGTTTCATGATTACCGTGTCAAAATCAACTGAAAGCGATGAGTGAATTTTTTAAAATCCATATCTACATTTCAATGTTCAGTTGAGTATGAAAAAAGACAGAGATGCACAATGGTCTAGAAGAAAACAAGATCTCAAGAAATCGTTAGGCTTGTATTTTTATATGAAGTGTCCAGTGTTATTAAGAACCAAACTTATTCCCCTTTTTGAATTCGGGACCTAGATTTCTGTTGACCACCCCAAGCTTCACCTTCAATAAGAAAAATAACCAATAACCAAACTACCCCCCCCCCTCCACCCGCCCAAGAATCACTGCTTTAATGCAAACAATTCTTTTTTGATGGAGGACAGAAGAAAACCCATGTATACCTTGACCGCGCAACAAGAAGGCTCGAAATAAGATCTTTTAAAATTTATTAAAGATAATATTCGTTTTGGGGTTGGGGTGGTGAGGGGTTATAATGCAAAGCCAGACTTTCATTAATTTGAGAGTTAAAGCGATACTTGCAACAAACTGAAATATTATATGTACATTTTCGTATTCATTTGAAACACTTTTCATAAATGTTCACTGAAAGGTCTACTTCAGCCAACCATTAGGAATTTACTTGACCTGATACACCCATCCGGTGTTTCCACTTGTTGTTGGGGGCGGGGGGGGGGGGGCACACGTCGTTACGTTAAGAACGAAGGACGATATTTCACTTGAGAATGGGGAAAGGGGCGCTGAAGCAGACTTGTAGCAGTAATTCTTCGAAGAAGACAAAACAGATTTTTAACCGTCGAAGACGTAATATAAACGTAATAAAACATCTGATCGCCTCCGAAGTGGTTGACATGATGCTAGTTACTTTGATGAATGATAGATCATTCATATTATGTTAAACGGGTGTCTACTCTGTTGACAAATGATACTGATTGCGTTGCGCTTTACCTGAAGGCAAAATAAGTTCTTGATCTGCCATGAATTACGAAGGCCGAGCAGAGTTTACAGAGGGATAAACTTTAACTTCTGGTATAATATGACCTTTGCGTGACAAGACAGAAAGAGGGGCATGATAAAAGAGTGAACTGCGTGTAATTATTAATCTTCTGTTATATTATTCAGAAAAAAATCAACAAATACCTGGGAGCTGTAAAACTTTGGGATCTGGGAAGGGGGGGAGGGGTTGATAGAGGGTGGGGGTGGATGGGAATGGATATACCTACAGAAAGCGAGCGAATAACCGAAAGAAAAGGAATAGGTGTAAAAGAGGAGATATGAATAAAGGTGATAACGAATTATCGAGGAAGATTGAGTTTGAGAGGACAGAGAGAGAGAGAGAGAGAGAGAGAGAGAGAGAGAGAGAGAGAGAGAGAGAGAAACCGAGGAGTTCGGGGGTCAGTTTCATAAATTAAACGAAAAGCAATCTTAGTGTTAGAGGAATTTCAGTTTTCCCAAAAATTGGGTAAAACACAAAACATTCAGAAACATGAGAGTGATTAGTCTTGTCTGGTTTTAGAACTAGAATGGCAAACCAAAGACTGTCTTCGTATCGTGTTTACCTCTCTCCTTTTGCAGCCCAATGAATCGACCTCGAAACATACCACAGGGTATTCAAAAATTATACGAGGAGGGGTTCAATAAGTCTTTGGTCTGGGTATGAAAGTGAAAGAATCATGGTAGAGTGATGGAATTTTGTCAACCTTTAGACTATTTCTTTGGAACACACCATGCACATTTTCAGGAAAATCTGACGATAATAATAATGCACTAGTCAGCGTGTTCAGTGAAACCATGCACAAACACGTTTATTTTTCTTTGATGAAGCTGTGCCATGGAGCCTGTTGAATATCCCCCAGCCATCAAGTTTTTACCCTTGCAAGGAAAATTCCCTTCGGACTTTTTCCTGAAATTGTCAAAGTTTATTGTGACAAATGTCCTCTTCATAATACTGAGACATACTGGGTAAAAACATTCCAATCTGGATTCATGTTGGTGAAGGATGAAGATCGTGAAGGGAGGCCATCTTTAGTTGTAACTGAAGAGAATGTATCCACAGTAATGAAAGTGGTTCTGTAAGACCGACGTATAACTGTTAAACAGCAGTGAACACGAGAATCAGTGTCGGGTCATTTGAAACGATTATCACTGACGATCTTAACATGAATATTGTGTCTGCTCGCTGGATACCCCAACTTTTGACAAGTGAGCAAAAGAAGCAGAAGGTTGTGTCCTGCCAAATTCTCCTTCGAATCGAGTCCAATAATACACATTTCTTTAAAAACGTGGTGACTATGGATGAAACATGGATTTACCATTTTGATCCTAAACAAAAAAATATCCTCCATGCAATCGAAAAACCCCTTTTCTTCCTCACCAAAGAAGACAAAGGTAACACCGTCAAGGGGAAAGGTCATGGTGTCGTGTTTCTGCGACTGTGAAGATCTCATCATGACTATCAGGAAACTGGAAAACAGTCACAGGAGACTACTGCTCGGGTTGCTGATAAAATTGCAGTCCTAACTGGTAAGAAAGAGGAGTGGAAAACTATGCATTGGGGTCCTCCAACTACATGACAACACCCTCCACGCAGGATATAACAAGCAGTCCATACAATAAAACAGTGAGGCTTTGAAATCCTGCCACACCCCGCTTATTCTCCAGACCTAGCCCCCTAGGACATTTTTGTGTTTCTTAATCTAGAAAAATCACTCAAAGGATGTTGTTTCCATGCCAACGAGGACGCCATTGAAGCTGTGGAAGACTAGTTAGGGGTCCATTCAGGGTTATTTTTCTCTCAAGGACTTTCGAAAGTCAAAAAGAAGTGGCAGAAATGTGTTATGCTGTATGGTGACTATGTAGAAAAATAAAAGTATGTAAACCAAGTTAAAAAGCTCTACCTTTATTTCTTTATATTAAACCAAAGATTTCTTGATCCCCCCTTTTAGAGTTGCGCGTTCCAGCTTATATGTAGAAAAAAGATAAGTCCTTATGGAGCATATAATATAAATAACGAACCCTTTTCTTAAGTTTATTTGAAATTATAAATGTTGTATAAATTTGTTCTTTAATGCCTATTTGAAATCAAACGACACTATATATTTTAAGAAGATGGAAATTATTTCTATTGTTCACCAAATGCAGGACACTTTTCGAACAAGTCAGTAAATTTTCTGCATATTGATAATTGTGATGCCGCCTTGTGGAAATTTTATTTTTTCGAAGTCAACGTCTAAAAGTAGCCGAGAAATTACCCTTTAACGGGTCTTCTTTTAAGACACCTGGTATAATATACATGTAGAGAGGGGGATAAATAGATAGATAGATAGATAGATAGATAGATAGATAGATAGAGAGAGAAGGAGAGAGAGAGAGAGAGAGAGAGAGAGGGGGGGGGGAGAGGGAGAGAGAGAGGGGGTGAAGGGAGAGAGATCTAGGGGAGGGTGGTTTTTTGGGAGGTGGAGGCGGGCAATGATAAAATGGCATAAGAAGGTATGGCAGGTAACAAGACAAAAAAGACAACAACCGGACGTGCAGAACATATGACAGCAACGTGACTAAAATAAAGAACAACAAAGCTTATTGTGTATGAAGCAGTGTCAGGAGTTTCTTAAGTGCGAGGTTGATACATGAAATGTTAGTGTCAAAGGAAAAACAAAGCATGAAACGACATTGAAGTGTTACGAGGACACTGATGAAGGCAAAACTGCCCACTGTTACTACAATCCGGAAATCACAGAAAAGTACACTTATCTTTCTTCAGCAAGAGCTTTCCTTGATAATAAATCGTTCTTTTCTCAAGCCGTATAAGTGCACTGTGTGATCCTTCGTCTTTTTTTTTTCTCTTCATACCTGTCAGATTTACTTTTTTAGCAGGGGGAAGTGTAGAAATTGGAAAGGGAAGGGGAAAATGAGGGGGTTTGGGGAAAAGGGGGGGGGCACTAAGAATGCACTTAGGGGTCTCCTTTGGGCTGTCCCAATGGGATATACAATACAACAACTGAGCATTTTATGCATGGTAGTTTTTGGGACTTAAGTGACATGAAGGGCCAATGGTCACGATCCACTGTCAAGAGAGGTACACAAGAGGGTTGTAGATAAAACTGTTCACTTGACAAAGGACGTACCTGCAACACACGTAGAATGCGTGATAATGGACACTGGTTGGGTTGTAATCACCCACCATAGAGTTACCCCCTTTTAAACTAGAGTCCGTACGAGGTTACGTGACACGGACGTATTTGAGTTTGTTGGAGGCCATTTTTAATGTGGCTAAAAAGTTTTTTTATATGTGATCGGGCGTGTCTCTGCTCTTAGTCTTACGTGTTTTATTTGATTCTAACGTTATGTTTTGATTCAAAGCGATTCTCTTAAAGGTGCAAGCATGTGAAACTTCTTGTCCCTTTCTGGATTAACGCCTTACTGGTTCTGTCAGGCAGTTCAGTGATGTCTGTTTTCTTTTATTACATCATCTATTTTTTGTGCATAATATGTCTTATAGACACAAATAGTCACTCCTGGTTTCTTTTTTAAAACATAAAGAGCCATCAGTAAGGTTCTGGGCCATGTGAAGTTAAGGTTGACAAGCAGCTAGATCTTTTTTACAATGGTCAGGACATTTCTTTATCAAACTGAAACAGTGTACTTTTTATTGTTTTGTTTTATTGAATGGTGTCCAAAAACACCTTAGTAAAGGTTTTTGTTTCAGTTATCACAACACTCAGTAGAAAAACAATTGACTAGGCTACAAAACAGCATTTAAGTTAACTTTTTTATCTTTAGTGAGTCCACAGTTGTCACAGTTGTTTTACTAATGTCCAAAATTAGACTTACTTAAAACAGCAATAGAAGGAGCTGTAGTTAAAGTGCTGTATATTGTCTACTTTAGTTCTTAAAATCAATATAAACCAAAGTTTAATACCGACATATGAAAACACAACTTATAATTTAGTATACTTTTTTAAAAAGTGAACATGTGAATGAAAAATAAAGTTTCCTGTTCAAAAGTCACAAGGGAAAGTTTAACTCGATTTTAAAAATACCAGTACATGTATTCATCATTTGTTTGACTGAATTTGCTTTATCAAGAGCTTCATTGCATTCCAACACCTAAAGGCTGAAAAACTCTGGAATTTTTTCCCTATGGCTCATCCTGATTTAATTTAATGCCAAACTCATATATCTGAGGGGGGCCGGGGGGGTGGGGTGTTTGGTATTGGGATTCGGGAGGAGAGAGAGGGTGGGGTGGTTATGGGAGGTTCCCATGACACCCACATCTTTTCATACTTCTTTTTAAAAGTTCTATAGGCCCTATACTCTTTGATTCGGTGAATAAGAAATAAACTACCTCGTGCTGATGAAGAAATAATGGTTGTTGTTTTTTTCTTCTTTTTTTTAAAGACCCTATCTCTATCTATTTAATAATACATTTATTTGTAGATCTAGTTGTAGAAAGAACGCCGTATTATTGCAATTTAGTAATTTAGATATAGTACGCCACGGCGCCCATGTAAAAAAAAAATCAACAAGAACCAAGCCTCGCCTGAGAGAGAGAGAGAGAGAGAGAGAGAGAGAGAGAGAGAGAGAGAAAACGTGCCTAGCCCTTTGCTTTAGCATGGACTCCTTAACACAACTTGCCACAAAAAACATGGCGGGCGCCGCTGTCAAATGTGGCCATCGCGCAGCAAGGCGAGAGAGGGGCGTACTGTATCTAGTACTATAGTGTACATCTATGTCGCCCACCCACCAACGCGGTCCAAAAAGGAAAGCGTCGAAATCTTTTTTTGTTCTTTTTGATAAATGCTTTACGGTGTTCGCAACTGCATAAGGTCATACGAGCACGCCGGACACATTAAACATTTTCAGTTGGTGGGAAATTTTGAATTTTGCCCGGGTGGCGGCCGAAACCTACTCTTATCGATTTAAAACAACCGTTTGATCTTTAACTTGCGCAACTTGCACACGGTTCCTCCGAGATTGTTCGCCCATGTCTGAGAAGGCTAGATGTAGATCTTTCCCACCAGAAGATCAACTATGTGGCTGAAAGACAGCAGTAAGAAGAAGGAGTCAATGAGTAGCAGTAGAAAGGTTGCGACTCTTTCTGCAGCCTTTCTACTGCTACTCCTTGGCTCCTCCTTACTGCTGTCTTTCTGCCTCACCCCTGATCTTCTGGTAGGAAAGAACTACACCTAGCCTTCTCGGACAAGGGCGAAAAATCTCGGAGGGCCCGTGTGCAAGTTGCGCACGTTAAAGATCCCTAGGTGGTCTAAAATCGATAAGAGCAGGCTTCGGCCGCCACCCGGGCAAAATTCAAAATTTCCTACCAACTGAAAATATTAGGTGTGTCCCGCGCGCTCATATGACCTATGCAGTTGCAAGCGCCGTAAAACACTTTACAAAAACAAACAAACAAAGAAAGGTTGCAGAAAGAGTCAGGAGCCCAGAGGAGGGGGCAAAGGAGGTGAGGAGGTTGGGGCAGAAAGTGTAGACGAAAGCAGACGACAGACATTGCTAAAGAGCAGGAAAGGAGGTGAGAGGATACAATTTGTAGATTACAAAAATTTCCGTCGCTATCCGGATTCGAACACGGGACCTATTAAATGAGAGGCAAACACCTTAACTAGGCCATATGAGCCCCCCTGCCGACATCTGTCATCGTGTAAAAATCCAGCTCTCGTCAAAATAATGAAATCAAACAACTCAACTGTTTTGCTCCCGATGATGAGGAGGCTCAACACGTTTTATTTCAATTTAATATTTAAAACAAAACAAATTAAATGTGAGGCAGCGTGGTGAAATCAGGAGCTCGTCAAAATAATGAAATTCAAGAAATTGGCATTTACCCGCAGGCTTGGGAATTTTTTTCGAATTTTTGTTTTTTGGTTAAACACCTTTCATGTCCATTTAAGTAGAGAACATTGGCACCCATATGACCTTATGCAGTTGCGAGCTCCGTAAAACCTCCATAAAAAAGAAAACATTTATGTGTGGATTTTACTGTAAAACGTTGATTAAAGGCAGAAGAAATGTAAATTTTTAGTTTCCACGTTCTCTAAGGCTAAAGAAATAATTCCACTTTGGCTTCCATTTTCTCGCTAGTTTTACCTCTGAAACTAGATGGCCCTCATCTCTTTCAATCACACATATTTCGTCTTCTATTCAACATAGATGAATATTATTTTCACCAACACAAAGGGAAATGGACAGGCCTTATTAAGATGATACCGTCAACTCTGTATGCACAAAAACTGACGAGAGTCTGATTCTACGGCGTCGTACCACAAATTCAAAATCGATTTTTACTGAAAAATCTTGACAAAGACGTAAAGTCATAATTGCTATGGAAAAACAACTCATTGGCGGCATCTAGATAATTACAACTACCACAGCAAGAGACCCCTACCTCCATCAGTTCTAAATAGTTTGACTTCTAATCAAGATAAAAAGGAATTTTTTTCACCAAGAGAAAGGCATAAAATGAGGCTTTTAGATTATACGAAGAGCTTCAAACACTAAAAAGAAATTACGTTCGCCTGATTCTACTGTGTCAAAACACATTTCTCTAATCTAAGCACAGCCAAGACATTTTGACAAGTGCTGACAATACTGATTAGGAACGCATTTTGCGATACAATTCTGGAGGACAAGAATGATAGAGAGAGAGAGAGTGGAAGAGAGATAGCGAGAGAGAGAGAGAGAGAGAGAGAGAGAGAGAGAGAGAGAGAGAGAGAGAGAGAGAGAGACAGACAGACAGACAGACAAACAGACAGACAGACAAACAGACAGACAGACATATAGACAGACAGGGAAAAAGAAACAGAAAATTAAAACGAAACATGTATGAATTGGATACATTAACAGCTGCTAAGGTGATCGCACACCAAGAAATTAAAAATACTGTATACCACGCTTCTCAGTGGATGTTTTTGAGACGGTCCCTCATAACTAAATTCTAACTCTCCCTATTATGAGTATTGTGGTGAGGGTATTTTTTTTTCCCATTGGTGAAAAGGACTAAAACAATCTCGGAATAAAGCAGGTATAGTTTTTGTGAGCATTTGTATGTGTTTAAACAGGTATTTGTTGAGAAGGATAACTAGAGAAATCAATAGAGAGAAATGAGAAGGAATAAAGAGGAAGGAAGTGAAAAATAGCAGTAAATCTCATACAGATACGGGTACATTGGCGGTTATCTATATGTTAAAATACGATATTTTAACGTTGTTGTGTGAGTGAGCACGCGTGTACGTGTGTTTGTGTGTGTGTGTGTGTGTGTGTGTGTGTGTGTGTGTGTGTGTGTGTGTGTGTGTGTTTGTGCATGTGTGTGTATGTGTGCATGTGTGTGTGTGTTTGTTTGCGTGTATGTGAGAGTGCGCACGAGCGTGTGTGTATGTGTGTGTGTGTGTGTGTGTGTGTGTGTGTGTGTGTGTGTGTGTGCGTGCCTTTGTGTGAGCGAGTGACCAAAGTGTGTCTGTGTCCACGTTTTAACCGGGTGAGGGGGGAGGGGAGTGGGAGAGATCGTATTTGTTCTTCTGTCAGGGTTGTTTTGAATGAGGTGTGGGAGGGGGGGGGATGACCCTAGTATTATGTGTCTATTTTGATTCTTTCGGTTTTCCTGTATGTTAATTAAAATGCCGATAACATCGCTTCTTTCCTTACCGGAAGGCCACAGGTTGAATTTTTTTCCCTCCACCTGAGGAAGAACGGTAGACAATGATTATGAGTTAATTGTAGTTACCATTTTTTCGGTTAAAGATTAAGTTATTGTGTTTATTTTTAATAGAATACCAGTAAGTCATAAATTGACATTTCAAGACTTATAGTTCCATTTGGACCAAAGGATAATCGTGAAATGGTAATCAAGTGAAAGATTGAGCAGAGAACGAGTTGGTTCCTGTAGGGAACGGGATAGCGGGTGCTCAAAACCATCGTGACTCATCAGAGCAGAGGAAAATAGGACTAACGCTAACAATACATTACCTAAAAAACAAAAACATTAAAAAATACGAAACTAACAGAAACATATCTTCTTGGTACTTTTATAAATAACACTATCCCACATCTTCGCTTTTCACTTCTAGAATCTACCACCGTCATTTCTAAACTCATAATTGCTCTCAGACTCTTCACAAACATCTAAATTTATCTTGAACATCTATATGTAACAGTTATATTATGTTATAGCAATTATGTACGTAGTACATTATTGGACACAATCACGCGCACATTTTTCTACTAATCAGAGAGCGTCAATATCATAGAAATAGGCGAGGGACCCCCCTCCCCCCAAAAAGGAGTAAAGAAAGAGGGACGGGAGGGTTTCTTTTCTTTCTTTTAAAGGGAAAAAATGGTATGGTGGAGATTAGGGGGTACTTGAAACCAAGATTATATTTTGTTTTTCTTTTGGAGGGGTGGGGGGAGGGGACAATTTTTATGTGTTCGTCAACCTCTGAATTATTCTTGATTATGTTTACGGCGGAAGTTAACCCAAAAGCCTTCTTGAATACCCATATTGCTTTTAAAATAGACTTTAATTATAAAGAACATGAGATAAATGATTTGTAGGGTTGTAAGCACAAAATTACAGAAGCTTCTTAGACATCACACAATTTCGCTGTTATTTTCAATATTTGTATTCTTTTACAACAAAATTAATAACAATTCTTCTTCAATATATCAAAAGATATGTGTTCACAAACCATTTTAAAAAACAAAACAAAAATAACGTCTTTACTCTCTGGATAGGCATTTGGTGTTTCTGTTCCAAAAGGGAAGTACACTGCGATGAAAATATATAAAGAAAAGTAAAGATATAGAAATCAGGTACGAGGCTTGAGGATACTGTTTTGCCTATAATAAACATTTGAAAACGAACGTGGTAAAATTCTGCATTATTGCTGTCAAAGTGTTTTGTTTTTCAGAAGCTTCGATACATGTGCAATTATAATAGCATCGTAAAATATTTCACCATTTTGAATAAGCAGAAAAAGAGAACTGTGTGTTTAGAGTTGATACATACGTCCTCCAAATCCACCAAATCCACCCAATCCACTCAGAAAACCAAGGAAACCTTCAGACGGTGAGATCATTAGTAAAATCACTGTGAGCATAGCAGCTGGGTTGACAGTTGACATCAGTTTTGAACTCATGGTTCCAGTCCTAATCCTGCAAATTATTATAAAGAACCAAAGCAAAAGTTAACTAATAAACACGTTTGTAAGTTGAAAATACACCAGTAATACAACAATGAGAGCCAATGCAGCGAGTTTTTGCGTCTTGACATATTGACATATGTTCTTAAAACTACGTGCGATATTTACACACCTTTGCCTGGGTGGTAGGCATAGAGGTAGAAGATTGCCCAAATATTACTGCACCACCTTCAGAAACCGACTTCCTTGATCAATACTTTTTGGATTCAAGGAAGGCGCATGGGAGGAGTCGATGATGTCTCAATTATTATTGTACCATAGTTTTACTCCTTTAGAAGAAGAAAAAAATTATTAATACTGTAAACAATACATGTCACGCATTTTTTTTCTCTTTGCTAGGGCATCTGCTGAATGCAGGGATTCATTGTTAGTGTTTATCCATGTGCTACGCTATTGTGATATAAGAACAAATGGATATCTTCTTAATGTAGAGGTCTTTACACCCCATCGACACAGTAAGTACACAATTAGTTTCACGGCGCTCATAACTGCATAACGTCATATGTGCGCGCTGGACACATTACATATTATTTTCATTTGGCAGGACATTTTGAATTTTGACTGGGTTGTGGCCGAAGCCTACTCTTATCAATATTGGACCACCAATGGATCTTTAACGTGCACAACGTGCACACAGGATCTCAAAGATTTTTCGCCCTTAACCGAGAAGGCTAGGTGTAGATATTACCTTCGTCGGCCTTGTGATAAAACCGACTAACCCCAGCGAGGTAAATTTTACAGGAGAGGGAAAAAACTGTTTTATTTCGAAACAAAGGCGTCTAACGATAAATCAGTGCTTTAAACACCTATAAAAACACTTTACCGAAAATATGTA